CCTTTTCATACAAAATATCATGTCACGCCACATCACTTAGGGCCTCTTCTAAACCGACCTTTTTCTGTATCTATTCTTATATCAGATAACTTTTTCCTTAATTGACAGCCCCCAGTTGGTTGTTCAATCTGCAGACGGCTTTAATTGTCACTTCACTACAGTTGCTATCCGATGTCTTTGTACATTATTTGGCCATGCATGCAATTGAAGCATCAGACAATTAGCAAACCTACATTCTACTTCACGAGGGGTCGTTTTCCGTTCGTTTTGGCATTTCATATGCTGTTCCACATTGTTGAAATTCGTCGCGTTTTATTGCGACGAGTTACGGCCTTTTGTGGTACCCTACACTCCAGGTGGGTTGTAATAATAAATTGAAATTCGGATTTAAAAGAAAATAATCGTGAATATTTAACCCTTTTACATGTTGATACATAATTTTGTTAATTTCGTCTATGGACCAGGCTGTGCGGAAGTTGCGTCCAATCTGTTTTTTTGCAATAAGTTAAAAAGTTCTGTATATACTGTATTTCTGTACGTATACAAATTCATCTTTCCCGCACGTTTTGATTTATGAAAGTATTATGAAACTGCCGATCTATGAATGAATCTACCGGTGGATCGTGTATTTCCTGTCGAGTCCTAATTTTCGATCTGTATCCTCTGCTTTATATGGTCTGCAATTTGCGTAAGAGACGAGAGAACTTTGCTTATTAACTAAACTTTGGAAAAACTTATACGGGTTCAGACACTTTTTATATAATCTTCCGATTATGTTGTTATAAGGTTTTGTGCTCTTGTGGTAGTGTTTATGTGGCCGATACGTAAGATAATATCAGAAATATGCGATATATTCACCCAATTTCGCTCAAGGTTATGAAGGACTTGTAGAAAAAGAATTTTCCTGGATGAGAACAACTTTTGGGAAAGCAAGGCCATGTGAAATTGAATGAAAACGTCAGCTCAACTCATATCATTGTGGGAAAATTGTTCTTCTACCAGTCCTTCATCACTTTAAATGAAATTCGGTAAATACATCTCATACTACTGATTTACTGATAGTCACGAAACAATACTTAATTCGAAAAATAAAGTAAAGTA